CCCTAACCTTAATCCTAACCCCAACCCCAACCCCTTATTCCTAACCCCATAAAAACTAATAAAATCTATACCAAAAAAAGAAAGAAAAAGAAATGAGAAAGGAAAAATGGCTACAGCCATGCTCATTCTAAAGTTGACAATGTTGTTTTCGCCTCGGCTCCTCAATCATAATAAAACAAAGTCACTGATTCAATGGTAACAGCAGTGACGGAAATTCCAAAATATATCCTGGTTCCACATGCTGAAAACGTCTGAAGGGACCCTCCTGTCAAATTCAGAAGAAGCCTGATCCCCTCTCCTCTCCTCTCTCCTTATGCTGGATGGTCCACTCGGGCTGCAAAGGGGAGGGAAAAAGCAGGCAGGGTCAGTCTGAGAGGGAGCCAAGAGGAGGAATCACCTGTCCAGGCTGAGGGATCAGCAAAGATCAGCCCAGGGAAGGAGCAGAAGCAGCAGCCTCAAGGGAGGGATCAGCTGTGTGGGATTTACAAGAGGGGAGGGACAGGGCTGGGAACTGGCTCCTGAGGTGGGTGAGAACCTGCCCCACATGTATGGATGCCTCCCCTCAAACACACAAATCCAATTTTAATTTATGTTGCCCTCAAGAGACAAATGAAAATGGGTTCATGGCCTTCAGAGATTCCAGGTCTCCCTTCAGCATCTGGAGGGAGGGATTCCTAGATGGACTCAAGGAGGGAAGCCCCCTCTCCGTCCACAACTGCAGGACCCTCAAGAAGTCCCTCCTCTGCCTCCTCCCTCCCCTTTGCACCGGGGACACTCCAATCTCCTCTTTGTAGGTCTCTTGACCTCCTGATCCAAGACAGTCAGATCTTGAGAGGGGCCACAATCTGGCCTTGAAGAATAAGAGGGTGGACAACAGGCAGACCTTCCCCACAGCCCCAATGCCTCTCCCCCAAACTTCTCACTGGCTGTTCAGTGCTAGAATGGAGAGAGGGAAGAGGGTTTTCTCAAAAGTATTTTCACCATCACCTGGTCATTCAACCTCAAATCCCTCCCCTCCCTTCCTCCTCCCCTCCACACAACCTCCAGCGGGGCCACTCACCTGTGAGGGGGGGCTTTTAAACATCCTGGATTCTCCCTGCATTGGAGAGAAAGACACTGAGTGAGTCTCTGCCTTGTCCGGGTCCTCTGAGGAGGACAAATCTCTCTCTTCGCCATTCAATCTCTGCAAGTTCAAGACATTCTCAGAGGAGACCAGGCTGGGCCACCAGAAGTCTCTAACCACTGGGGCTCATGGCATCGCTGTTGGTTTTCTTATTTCCCTCCCCAGAGCTGAGGGGCTCTTTGCTCCAAAGATGGAAAAGCAGCCATAAAAGGGTAGACCAGTGATGGCGAACCTTTTAGAGACCGAGAGTCCAAACTGCAACCCAAAACCCACTTATTTATCGCGGGGTGCCAGGTAGGCGTGGCCCACTGGATGGGCATGGCTGTGGTGTTCATGGCAGAATGGGTGGATGTGGCCAAGGTGGGCGTGGTCACCTCGATGTTGCTCGTGGGGACCTCGTGGTCACCTCGATGTCGCCTGTGGGGACCGGACAGGGTTGGGGGAGATCCAATGGGTCTCTGGCAGGTGGGGCAGAGGCTCATCCTGTGGAGTGAGGCGAGGCAGCCATTGTCGCAGGGCAAGGCGAAACAGGGGCCAGAGTGGCTGCTGCCTGACACCATTGGCCCACACACACAGAGGCCAGCGAGCGCATGGAGGCTGACAGTGTCTGTCAGCAGCCACAGCCTGCCGGCCCCTCAACCAGCGCACTCTGGGGCTCCGCAGCCCGCCGCCAGCAGTTCAGAGAAGCTGCCTCTCAGCTGGACGGCCAGCCGACAGCTGAGGAAGCGATGCAATGGGTCGTGCCCAGGAAAAGCATGCGAGGCCAGGAGGGATGGGACGGCGGAAGAAAACCAGCCATGCTGGGATGTAGCGAGTGGGACCTCAGCGAGTTAGCGGGCAACTGGTTGAAGAGGGACGGTTGCCATCTCCGGGGCATGGCGCGCGTGCCCACAGAGAGGGGTCTGAGTGCCGCCTCTGGCACGCGTGCCATAGGTTCGCTACCACTGGGGTAGACAATATCAATTTGAGACACAATCTCAATAGATTTTTCTATTCTTTCTCTGACTTCCTTCCGAGTAAAGTTATTTATTCCTCCCCCACCACCTTTCTGTTCTTTTTACCAATCAACCAAGGGGGTGAATTTAACTAATAGTCCTTCCTTCTCCTATTTTCCCCATAACAACAACCCTATGAGGTGAGTTGGGTTGAGAAAGACTTGTCCCACCCAGCCAGTTCTTCATGAATAAGATGGGACTAGAACTCACTGTCTCCTGGATTCTCCAGGTGCCTTCACTACGAAGCCAAACGGTACCCAATCTATTCTACATTCTCCGGAACCAGACACAGAGGGAACACATGGAGGGTGTATTAGGAAGCCCTTTAAAAACAGGAGGGACAGCGTCTCTCTCCCTTTTTTCACCCCTTCCCATCTCCCCAAAAGTCTTGCTAAGAGGCAGAGTTGCCAATAATAAAGTTGGAAGGGACCTTGGAGGTCATCTAGTCCAACCCCCTGCTCACAGGAAACCCTATACAAGTGGTGGCGAACCTATGGCACGCGTGCCTGAGGCGGCACTCAGAGCCCTCTCTCTTGGCACGCGTGCCACTGCCACCAGCAGCAGGTTCATCAGGCCGCCACCGCCGCCCGGTGCAGGAGCCCCACCCAGCACAAAGGAGGCGAAGCGGATAAACTAGCAAGCTCGAGTAGAGGTGGTAGAGCAGAGGTCACCAACCACTGTCGATTGGTGGACTGGAAGAAAAGGGAGGGGGAAGCATTTTACATGCGTGCATGCGCGCACGGCGCCGCAAGCAAGCATGCACTGCAAATGGGGCATGGCTAGTGCCTGCGTGATACTCATTAGCCCTGCCCCGTTCTTGCGTGGTGCAGCCCCTTGTATCTGTACCCCATGGCATGACGGCGGCCATTTTTGCACCTTGCAGCACAGTGGCCCATTTTTGCGCCCCGGGTTTTGCATGCCAGAGGCAGCACTCAGAGGCGCCTCCCTGCCCCCCCGAGGGCACCACAATACTGATGCGGCCCTGGCATTTTGCGATAAATAAGTGGGTTTTGGGTTGCGGTTTGGGCACTCGGTCTCTAAAAAGTTCACCATCACTGCCCTATACCATTTCAAACAAGTGACAACCTCCAGTGAGATTTTTAAGAAGGCAAGCTGTTCCACTGATTAATTGCTCTAACTGTCGAGAAGTTTCTCCTTAGTTCTAGGTTGCTTCTCTCCTTGATTAGTTTCCATCCATTGCTTCTTGTCCTACCTTCAGGTGCTTTGGAGAATAGCTTGACCCCCTCTTCTTTGTGGGAGCCCCTATCAGATCCTTTGTCATTTGAGGCGTCCTTGGTGCTCTCTGAGCTTGCTTGTTTTCTTGCAGACGTCGTAGCTCGGTGCCTGTAGACTAGCACGGATGATGTTACCCCGTTTAAAACGTCTAAAAAGGAAACAAGCCAGCTCAGAGAGCACCAAGGACCCCTCATGTCAACCCTGAGCTACAAATATTCTCCTTTATTAGTATCTTTCTCATTTGCTGGAATAGAAAGAAAAGAAGGTGGGGAGATCAATCTCTTGGCTGGAGGGACATAGAACATAGACCAAGGAAGGAACCTTGGAGGTCTTCTAGTCCAGCCCCCTGCTCAAGCAGGAGGCTCTCTATCATTCCGAACAAATGGCTGTCCAATCTCTTCTTGAAAAGCTCCAGTGACAGGCACCCACAATTTCTGGTGGCAAGCCGTTCCACTGATTAATTGTTCTGTCAGGAAATTTCTCCTTAGTTCTGCGTTGCTTCTCTATCTTCTTATCCTGCCCTCTGGTGCTTTGGAGAAGAGGTCAACCCCCTTCCCTCTGTGACAGCCCCCCCAAATACTGGAAGACTGTTATGATATCACCCCTAGTCCTTCTCTTCATTAGACTAGACATATCCAGTTCCCACAACCGTTCATCGTAGGGTTTAGCCTCCAGACCCCTGATCATCTTCGTTGCTCTTCTCTGCACTCTTTCTAGAGTCACAACATCTTTTTTGTATCATGTTGACCACAACTGGATGCAGTGCTCCAAATGTGGTCTCACCAATCCAATATAAAGCACTACTATCACATCATATGAATTTGATCCTATCCCTCTATTGATGAAACCTAGGACTGCATTAAACTTTTTCGGCAGCTAGAGCACTCTGCCAGATCGTACGCTAAGTGGTGATCTATTAGGACTGCTAGATCCCTCTCATAGTTACTACCACTGAGCCAGGTAACACCCTGTTCTATAATTGTACATCAGCTCCTTCAAATACATACACACAAACAAAAGGCACCCAAAGAGTTTGAACCAAACTGTTTTAGCTAAGAAACATAGGAAAGAATTCTTAACATTTGTATATCTCCATGTAGAACAACAGTTCAGCAATTCCTCAGCCACTGTGGACATGAATATACAGATAGCTCCAAAGTTTCCTTTTCCAACCAGTTCATAATTAGGGAGCCTTGTGATGGGAGACCAAGAGGAGATCCAGCTGGCATGCACCAATGCTCCTTTTTCTCTCAAAATGCCTCCTTTTGATCCCTATTTTTACAGACTTCCCTGACCATGTTATGGTCAAGCCTTATGATTTCCACATCCTTGGAAAACGGAACAGCTTCTCATCAGAGGGATCTTCCACCCAGTCGGGTCTTTTCATCTTCTTGAGGGTTCCTCGTACTAGATGCATCTCCTTGGGGTCTCCTCTCCCAAGAACTGTCTGGCTGTAAGGAAAAGGGAGCCCAACTTTCACAGACTACTGACTGCAACACCCTGTGGTGTCATGAGGAACACAGCAACACCCTGCTTTTGCGTTTAGAAACACGAGACACACAGATGCACACACAGCCTTCAACTGATGTTATCTGTGGTGCCTGCTCTGAGTTGGAGTTTACATGAAAAGAGGACAAATCACTCACCTGATGGTGCTTTGTAGCCATCCCGACGTTTCTCTGCAAGGACAAGAATCAGTGAAAGCTCAAAATAATCCACCAGAGACTATCCAATTTCTCTCCCTGTAAGACAGACATGTCAAACACAAGGCCCGGGGGCCGGATGCGGCCCGCAAAGTGGTTTCATGTGGCCCGGGAAGCCATCCTGGAAACAGTGAGGGAATGGCCCCCGCTGCTTTGGCCCTGGCCCAGGCCACCCGGGAGCCAATGTACAATTTTGTGGTGGCCATCTATGCTGAAACACATTCAGTCTTAGCTCCATAAGCCTCCCCCCCTGCATGGCCTGAGAGGAACAGTGAGGCTCCTCCAGTGGACCATGCCTTGGCACTTGCCCCGGTCCCACCCCCTTCTGCCAGAGACCCTCAGATCTGTCCCACTCCTGCCCAGGCCCCCACAGGCACCCTTGACGCGAACGATGTAGAGCTGTCCACACCCACCCAGTAGGCCACACCCACTCCACCAACGCCCACCCAGTGGGCCGCACCCATCCTGGCCCCCTGAGGGCAACCGCAATGCTGATGCGGCCCTCAATGAAATTGAGTTTGACACCCCTGCTGTAAGAGGAAGAGCGCTGGGAGAGGTTTTTACAGTTGTTTAGACACAACCTCTCCTGGCTACTCTTATTAACAGTCACAGGAAGAGCTTCAGACTACAAGCACGTCATTTGATTTGCCCCAAGGGAGACCTGCTGCCTCTGAGATGGACAGAGGAGAATTAGGGGAAGCAGCAGCAGCAGCTGGGAGGGGAGGAAGATTTTCATGGAAATCCTTCTCTGCTGCTCTTTGACCAAAGACTTTGAAAGGGACGGAACTGGGATGCCTCTTGTTCCCAACACAGAAGAAGGCGGGATTGTCCCAACCTCAGACTCAGCCAAGTCAAGTCCCAGTAAGAGGCCGAGATCTCAGATGCTTCCCAAGAGGGCTGGGAAAACAGGACAGGAGGAAGCCCTAAAGAAACTGCCCAAAGGAGAGATTTGAGTGGAATCTCCCCATCTTCCTTTAATCACTCAGGAAAAGATACTTACTGCAGTATATAAAACTCCCAACAATCAAACAGACGACAATAAGACCCAGAAAAACGCAGCAGAGGATGAGCACCAGGTTTGATTCGGTAACTAAATTGAGAAAAAAAAGCAGATTATTGAAGGAGCCCCCTCCCCCAAAATCATCCCAATTAGGGGAGAGACCCAATGCAGCCAAAGGACCGGGAAGTCCCCAAATTAAAAAGTTTACAATCTCATCTTCATGTCCCTCTAATACAGACACCGTGACAACCATTGTTAGAGGAAGTGATGCTGGCTTGCTGCCTTTGTCTCAGCCCAGCCCAGCATGAAGACAGCTGACATTCATCTTTACCTGATCAGCAAAAAAAAAAAAGCAGCCGTTTGAAATCTTGCCTCAGCTGCTTATAGAAATAAAAACTTCCACAACGAAATAATATGAACAATTTTTGTGAAACGCTAAAATGTTTTTTTTGTTTTGGTTCTTTTTATAGCTTGCCCCAATATGTCATGACTCTGGGTGGAATCAGGCAGCTCTGTCTTATATTTTTAGGCTTGGATATTTGCATTTTATTATTAGAAAATGAAAGGATTGATATCGCCTATCTGTGTTTTAAGACTAGAGTTCCATTTTCTTTATCTCTTGTAGGATTGGTCTGTCCCCCTAGAGGAGAAGAAAGGAACTAATCCTTCCTTCAAAGACTCTCAGTCATCTGGCCAGGATAGAAATTGTTTCAGCCTTTGCATAAGGAGCTTTTAACTTGCCAGGAAAGCAACCCAGGATGTGGGGATCCTCTTGTGACACACAAACCGGGATTAGGAGGTAGACTCCAGGGAAGGCCCGTCACATATCCCACCCCCTATCTCCATCACTCTTTCCTGAAGACTAAACTGGCTAATAATAGTAATAGTTATAGTAGTAGTAGTAGTAGTAGTAGTAGTAGTAGTAGTAGTAGTAGTAGTAATAATAATAATAATAATAATAATAATAATAATAATAATAATAATAATAATAATAATAATAATAATAATAATAATAATAATTGTCAACGCTGCAAATACTGTATATTCTTGCTTTGACAATATGCAGAGCTGTCTGGCATTTCTATAGTTAAACCAGGCAGAAGGGGAAAAGAAACCGGATGTAAATCACATCTTCCAAGTTGATTGGAAGATGTGAACCATGGCCCCAAAAAAGGGTGGGAGGGAAATGTTTAGAATTACATGCATAGCGGAAAAGGAACCAGTCCTAAGCATTCCACCATGCCGTGCTGATGTACTAATCTTAAATAAATGCTTTTAGGAGAAAAATGCCTGAAAGTCCTTTTAAGTGTTTCATTACTCAGACACATGACATTATGCTTAGGACTCGACACCTTTTACAACAATCTGGGGTCCCGAGCCCCACCCACTCCCTCTAATTTTGAGGGTTCTGGAAAAGACTCGGCGAAGATATGAAAATGCAGGGAAAAAAAGTGTCTGAAGCCAGCTTTTTGACTGCTGCAGATTTCCCGGGGGGGGGGGGGAATCGAAGGCCGGCAAGCCGGGCGAGAGAGGAATCTGGCAGATATCCCAGCTGGGAGCGAGGCCAAAAACATGGGAGGAACTGATAAGGCCAAGCGAAGAATATCGAGAAAGCCACTCAGCATTGCCAATAAATGAACGTGAGTCACAATTAAGGAATTCTTACAGATTGCCTTCACCCCCCCACCAGCCATCTGTCACTGAAAACTCAGGCGAGTGGAAATACCCACCTGCAGTTCATAGTGGGTCATTAGACTGCCTGGCAAAGAGATGTGAGGAATTAGAAGTGCGAAGCGGAGGGCAGCTCCTGTGGAGAGAGGCCCCCAGCCCCACCCTTGCAGAACTACAGCCGGTGAGCTTGCAGATCAGAGGGGCCCAGCATGCACAGTCACCATTGGGAGGCCTGCAGCAACAGGGGGCACTACCAACCCCCGCGGCCCAGCAGCAGAGAGGCCACCAACCATTCGATGGGCAAGCAGGATGGGGCCAACAGCAACTGGGAGCACCACATCAACAGCAGGGAGCCCAGCAGCCATGGGACCAACAACCGGGGTGGGACCCGCAGCAACAGCCCCAGTGGGGGCCACAACAGCCTGTTTTCCAACCAGCTTTCAAGGCAACCTTCGATGGAGACCCAGAGAAGCTGATTTTTTTTCTCAACCAAGGGTGCTCTCACTTGAACCGTTGGGCCTACCATTATCCGGACCCAGGTGCCATGGTCGACGTATTTGCATCCAACCTAGAGGGAGAAGCAGCTGAATGGCTGAATAACTTATATAGTGAGCAAGCCCCCGAATTGGAAGATCCCCACCTTTTCCTCTTAGGTCTGAAGGAACGATTTGAGAACCCATCCATAGGCCTCAAAGCAGCAAGACAAATTCACAAAATAAGACAAGCCGGAAGGCCTGCCCTGGAGTACGTACGGGAATTCCGCAAATTAGCAGGCCGAACAGAGGGGTGGTCCGAACAATCCCTGGTTCAATACTTTGTTGAGGGATTGGACGATCACCTCTCTCAAGCTTGCATCTATCGAGACGTACCTGATCGGCTACATGAGTGGTACCAGACAGCAGTGAAGCTAGACGTTAAGCTCTCTCGCTATAAGAAGCCTCCCCCACCCGAACCTGAGCAGCAACCAGAGTTACCCGGACAGCAATCACCCCCATGAAAACCCTCAACTACGACATTGGCTGAGAGACCCAGGCCACCGACACGCCCTTCCTTCACGTGTTTCCGGTGTGGACAAGAAGGACATCGAGCGGCCACCTGTCCAATCCCCTACCCCCGGTGGCAGAGCGGACCAGAACCAGCAAAGCGAAAGAAGCCTGCTCAGCGGCTAACGAGAGAAAAATCCAACAGGCTCACGCAGGAGAACACTGGGACTCCGGTTGGACCCGCCCCTGATCTACCCTCCTTTGACAGTGACGATGAAGGAGAGAACGATCCGATGGTGAGTCAACGAATCCCGTCTTTTTCACTGGCCGCCAAGCTTATAATCCCTAAGACTGGGGCACAAATGGACTTAAATGTGCTAATTGACACTGGATGCACCCGCTGCATCATTAGTCGGCAGTTTGCAATAAAAATGGGCATATGGGCAAAACAGCTTTCCGAACCGGTGAGGTTTGAGCAAGCCGATGGCTCCCTAATGGGAGGGACTTTTGTCACACAATTAACTGAGCCCTTACGCCTAGAAATAGGTGCACATTGGGAGTTTATTCGCTTCCTGGTAGCTCCAAAAATGACTGAGGTGGTGGTCCTAGGGTTAGCCTGGTTAGACAAATGGAAACCATTCATCTGGTGGGAGAAAGGAATGAGAACCGTGAGACTGCCTATAGGGCCTAACCCCCCTCTTGAGTCAACGGACGTTGCAGGGCACTTTAGGCCACCCAATGAGCGAGCGCACATGGCCACCTCACCAACCCCGCGCGAACCAGTCATCCCCAATGAATACCGGGACCTGGCGGAGGTTTTTAGTGAAAAAGAATGTGATGTCCTACCCCCTCACAGACCCAATGACTGCTCCATCGAACTGGTGCCAGGAGCCAAGCTCCCATGACCGAGAATGTACGCTATGTCCCCCCTCGAAATGGAGGAGATGCAGCAATACGTGAACAAAAACCTAACGAGGGGGTTCATTGAACGGGCCAAATCTACCGTGGGAGCTCCTGTGTTGTTCAAAGAAAAAAAAGATGGATCTCATCGTCTCTGCGTGGACTATAAGGGTCTCAATGCGGTAAGTATGGAGAACAAATACCCACTCTCCCTCCTAAAGGACTTATTAATCCATCTGGCTAAGGGGAGTGTCTTCACTAAATTAGACCTCAGAGAAGCATATTACCGGGTGAGGATAAAAGAGGGAGACGAATGGAAAACTGCCTTCAACTGTCCTATGGGGAGCTATCAGTTCAAAGTTATGCCATTTGGCCTACAAGGGGCCCCATCTGTGTTTATGCAATTGATTAATGAGGTACTACATGATCACTTGTACAAGGGGTTTTTGGTGTATCTTGATGATATCCTGATATATAGCACGAACATGACTGATCACATAAAGCTGGTGAGAGAAGTGTTAAAGAAGCTGTTGAATGCCAAGCTTTATGCCAAACTGTCAAAATGTGAATTTCATCAAA